CCAAAGAATAAACAGAAACGATTAGAAAGAAAATATGGGAGAGGGCGAGGGAGAGGGGAGAGGAAGCAACCCTAAGACAGGACACGTTGGCACATTTGGTTACAAGAAAGAGATTACGTGGCAAACTCCGGGCTTCGGCATATTCTCATATATGGATGAAAAGACCGCTTTTTCCTTAACTCAGCCCCTCCTTCCGGCACTCTCCAGGCAACTCCGGCGAGCCTCTCCTTGCTGCTGATGTCACCGTCTCTCCTGCCCCCCTCTACCCCCCAGCGTCTGTCTGGCTACAGCAGGGCTGCCCCCCACCGTCGCGCACCCCATAGCTTGCCTGCAATAGGCACACCAGGGTCTGTGGGCTTCCCTTGGGGTACAGTTCTCAGCAGGCCAGGAAGCAGCCAGGCCCTCTAGAGCCGTGTGCAGCCTTGCCTCCAGGGGAGGACCTGAGTCCTTGCAACGATGTTCCTCTCTGCATGTCTGCCTGGGGAAGGCAGGTGTGACACCCTGCCCCTGGGCTTCCTGGGGTCACCTTTAGACACCCAGCCATGTGTGGCTCTGGCTTCACCCGAGCTTCCTCCGTGGAGGTGTCTTTCGGGTACAGAAAAGGGGGCTGGGTTGCCACCCTCCAATGGGTGATGGACTGGCAGAGGGGCCATGGTTCTCCTCACTGAAAACAGTATGGATTCTGAAAAACTCGGAATATCAAAAACCAACAGAACTGACAGAAGCAGCAGAGATGGCGTGAATCTATGGCTGTGACGCATTTTCCTGGCGCATTGGGGCTTACAAAGCCCATGGGATGCATTCCCATTGACTAGGTTTACTTGTAGAAGTCTCACTAAAAGTCCTGAACTCTCTGTGCATAGTAGAAAAGCAAAATTTTTACATTTTTCTGGGTTTAGAAAGTTACTGTTTCCTGTTAAGTTTTTTTGTTTTTCTTTTGTATTGTTTTTTGAGACAGGGCTTCTTTGATGAATTAAAGTCACGGGAGTCAAGGGTTAGAGAAACGACTCAGTGGTTGAGGGTGTACACTGCTCTTCAGAGGGCTGGAGTTTGATTCCCAGCTCACTGTAAGCATACTGTAAGGCTCACCACCACCTCCGGCCTCTACAGACCCAACACTCATGAGCACACACCGACACACATACATATAATACATAAACTAACAGGTCACATGACTCGGCAGAGGATGTAGTTCAGTGCCGAGGGTTTGTTTCACGTGCTCTGGGGGTCTGAGTTTCATCCTCAGCAGCATGGGGCCCTGGCACTTAAAACATACACATGTATTTAATTGGAAAATTAAGGGCAAAAAACTTTAATCGTATTTAAATATGCTGATAACATTTCTGATAGTGGCCAGCTATCAATTAACAAGCTAATTGAGATCATACATCAATTACAACTCTCTGAATTTAACCTTGAGCCTCTAGAAGGCAAGTCTTTTTTTTTTTTTTTTTTTTTTTTTTTTTTTTCTAAGAGAGGGTCTCACTGGGCAGCCCTGGCTAGCCTGGAACCTGCTGTGTAGATGCTGCTGGGTTCAAACTCACGGAGATCTACCAGCGCAGGGATTAAGGGTATGCACCATCACACACAACCAAGGACGCCTCCTTTTCATTCCTTTATAATAACACGCCAAGAGTGTACATTACAATTACGGGCTGTGAGGACCCCGGTGGCCTGCACCTGATCAGGAACATCAGCACGCAAGATTCAGGAAGCAATCGAGAAAGAGAAAGGGGACAGGAGAAGGGGTGGGCTTCATCTCACGGCGGCTGTGATATGGACAACGCATTGTCCTCAGCAGGTCAGTCTGGCAGGATCCAGGAAAAATTACTCATTAGGGGAAAAACCCTCTACAGCCAGTGACACATTTTCACATTCTCCTCCTTTCCTTTTGACTTTTTTTTTTTTTTTTTTTTTTCCATTTTCCTCTGCTCAAACTGCCAAAACCAAGTAACGGTTCAGCTGTAAGTACTTCAGATGTCCAAAGGCTGCCCTGTGAAGATTATGACTCACTGCTCTAACAGGTGAATACTCACACAGCAGTACCCTGGTGTTAGTTTTCGTCAGGACAGACAACCGTTAGATTTCTAATCTGTCATCACAACAGTCCCATAAATGGCAAACTGCTGAGACTTCCTCATCTCTGGGATGATATCTGCCTAGGGAATTTTCGTGTGTTTCTTTGTTTGTTTGTTTTTCGAGACAGGGTTTCTCTGTGTAGTCCTGGCTGGCCTGGAACCAGCTCTGAAGACCAGGCTGGCCTCAAACTCAAGAGATCTACCTGCCTCTCTCTCTCTCCTGAGTGCTGGGATCAAGAGTTGAGACCGGCCTGGGCTTCAAGTGAGGGCCAATCTAAAAATAAAATAAGCAAATAAAAAGGAACTATGGTTGCACATCTGGTCCTCTGCTGCCAAAAACTGATGAGTTAGTGAGATACAAGCCCGAGGGTTGCAAGAGGCTGCTGGGCGAAGGGGCGGGCTGGCTGGCTGTTAGCTGAAGTCAGGTACACGGGCAGGGTTCCAGCACAAGCACCGGCCCAGGCCTCAGGCAGGGATGCAAGAAAAGACTACTCCTGTTCTTCTGAGGTACAGAGTATGGAAGGACAGTTTTGCAGCAGAGGCCGAGGACAGACGGCTTGGCTGGTGTATCCAGCTGTGGAAACCCGCCTTTTCCAAGCAGTGGGAAATCTCAAGTGTTGTCGCTGCAGTGTTCTGGACTTTATCTCATCTGAAGCAGTTTCAGATGTGAAACTTCAGAAGATTCCCTAAGAACCCAGCGTCAGCAGCTGTGGTTTTGTCCAGTAGCTCCATCGCCTCCCGAGCCAGAGCCTCGTTCCTAGCCACTTCCAGGGTTAGCTTCAGAAGCTGGAATCTGATACTGATAATCTCATCCAGCCTAGAGTCCACTTTGTCAACCGATTAACGAAAATGGCATCATTTTCCACAACGCCCATCCCGGGCCACGGGCTCCGCTGAGGTGGAGCAGCTTCCTCGTCCCCTCTAACCTGAGCAGCTTGTGGCACTCTTATTCTTGGAGAACGCAGGTTAGGTACTTCACAGACGTCTTGCAGGCTGTGTGAACTTCTGCATTTCGAGTCACTTTTCAGGGTGTAAGTGCAACTCCTCTTTGCTCCATTATTGGCAACGTTAATTTTGGTAACTGGGCGGTGCCCAGCTCCTTTTACCGTGTGGCCACTGTTTTCCCCATGTAATTAATAAGTATATTATTGATGGGGGAGGTGCTGTGAGAGTGTAGAGAGCACCGGTTCTTCATGTATCGATGCCTTTTCGTTGAATTAATGTTTACTAAGGCGACTGCAAAACTCTTTTTTTGTTTGTTTGTTTTTTCTTAAGCAGGAAAACACTGTCCTAGCTACTATATAGAACGTGCTTCCTTTCGTCGACACGTTTCTGTAACGTTAATACCCGCATGGCGATCTGAATGAGGGACGCCTCTCCTCGTCTCAGGCATTTGAGCACACTTAGTGCCCCTGTTTGGGAAGGTTTAGGTGGCGAAGGTCTTGCTGCAGGAGGCGTGCCACTGAGGGTGGGACCTGACATTTAAGCCTCACTCCACTCCCCGTGAGAGCTCAGCTTCCTGCTCCTGCTGCTATGTCCCTCTCGCAAATGTGGCCCGCGGCTCCGGAACCATGAGCACAAATCAGTTCTTTCTTCTGTAAGGTGTCTTGACCACGGCTTTCATCACAGCAACAGAAAGGGGACGGTAGGTATGAGCTTGTGGGCCCTGTTCCCAGGGGGCTACACCGTGAGTATTCATGTGGACACGAGAAGCTAATGTCACCAGCATGGCCAGTGGGACCCTCTCAGCCGCCTCTGGAGTCCTTGTGAGGTGCCACCAGCCGCGGCGCGCTTCCTTACTAGTGGGCACAGGGGCTCCGGGGTTACCTCATCTCCGCCCTGGCGTGGGATCTACCGTGTCTCTAAGAGGTGCCCCAGCTTGCTTCAGTGGGGGACACTGGGACAGTTGGTGTGTTTGTCTTTGCTTCTGAGCCCTTTCATTGAGAGCAAGGGCACATGTATGTGCGCGCACACACACACACACAGACACACTCGCCAGCATGCACACACAGAAAAACCACCACGCTGTGCGCGCATTGCTGACCTCATCTAACCCCAGTGGGAGAATTCCCGTTCTTGAGAGATGACCTACGACCAAGTTTAAGATTTGTGTCAAGTTTTTAATGCCGTCTCAGAGTATATTTTGTTCAAGAGTTACTAAAATCGACACACCCCCCCCCCATTCAATGTTAGACTGTAATTAATTGGGACACAGTTGGGTCCTGTTTCTTTTCAGTTCTATGACAGTTCCCATTTTTGATTATTTACTTCTTGAACACGTAAACCATTAAGACGATTTAAAGTCCTAACGGTCAAAAGCACGCAAAGGTGATACTCTCTACCAATCTTCTACTCCTCTCCCAACCCTGTGTAGGGGGCCAACTTCATCCATTTCTTCTTTATTCTGTTTTGGCGATGAGGTCCTGTTGTGTGACCCAAGCTGTTCTGGAATTCAAGGTCCTTTTGCTTTAGCCTCCTGTATGCCATGATTACAGGCGTGTGAGTGCCGCACGGGCCTAAGGGCGTGCATGCGTGCGTGTGCGCGTGCCTGTGCGTGTGTGTGCGCGCGTGCCCTCGCACTTGCGCGTGAACGTATGCCCCTGCAGAGGTCAACCTTGGGAATCCTCCCGCAGCTGCTGTCCACCTTGCTTTTTGAGACAAGAGCACCTTCTTCTGAGACCCGAGTCTTGCTTATTAGACTAGTCTAGATTGCCTAAGCAAGCCCCTGGCCTTCCGATTTCTGCCTTCCCAGGACTGAGGTTAGCAGAGTTGACATTTTTATACTCTGGGCCTCAGACAGACACTTGATCTGACAGACACTGTATCTCTACAGCCACCGAACCAAGCTTTGATTTCCTGTTGGCCAACCTGCGGCTTCAAGCCTACAGCACGAATTAGACAAGTACAGGTGTCACGGGTTACCTGCTCCTCAGAAACTTCCAGGGGAGGCGACGCTCGCTCCTCAGACCGACCACCGTCTTGATAGTTGACATTTCGTCGCTGGCGTAAAGGCGGGAAGAGCCTATTCCAGTTGATCATTCCTCCCTACAGAGAGCAACAAAGGGCCATCAGGAAAGGAAAGCTCCCTGAAGGCTCACAGCTCCAGCTGGGGAACGAGATGCTGCACCTCTCTGCTGTGCTGAGACGAGACCCCCAAATTCCCCACCACCCTCAGCCAGAGGATAAAACTGGCCCTGCTATAAGCACAGAGGAAAGAAGTATCCTGTGCAAATGGGCCCACCAGGTCCAATATCAGACCCCCGGCCCTGTGCCAACAGTGGCTACGGCCACATTCTGGGAGCTCAGAGGTTTGCAGGATGTACTGAAGCAAGAAACCCGAGGCCCCTCCAACAGCCAGGTAGGACGCTGCTTGCTCCTGTCTCCCGTGTATTTAGTCCTGAGCATCTCTGATGGGGAGACGGACGGACCGCAGGCCCACATCCAACAACAAGCTAGAGAGCGCAAGGGGCAAAGGTCCACAAGGTGATCAATAACGTACTGAGCACTGGCTCTGTGGATGCCAAAGACAGACAAAGCCACTTCTGGCTTCAAATCCGAAGAAAAATGCAGGGCACGATGCTGTCTGAAAACGCCTGTTTTTTAGCTGTGTGCAGATCTTTGAGTTTGCTAATTTAAAAATGTCTATTTCTGGATGTCTTAGAGTTCCTGAAAATTCATAGACTGTGAAAGTCTGAAAATCTTTCTCCTTATGGAAACCTAAAATACTTAAGGAAAATACTTAACATTGGCTGACTAATAGGAAGAAATGGAAATCCCAAGACACCAGAAACAAGCAGACACGGAGAGCCAGAGCAGAAGCAAGCTGGGATGCGGTCAGCCAGAGAGCCACCCAACCCAACAGAAAGATCAAGAAATCAGAGGAAGCCAGGCTGTTTAATAAACAGGACCGGATGATGGCCGGAGACATGAAAAGTTAAGGTTAGGCTTCTGCCCCAGATGGTATGTGAATGTGTTCCATGGATTAATGACTAGAACATGGAAAGCTACACTGTTAGAGCTTTTAGAAGAGCATACTTTCATGTCACTGTGACAGGAAAAATATTTCTCAAACACAAATATGAAAAATATGGCTAAGAATTATTATACTACCAGTAACAACTTATACTAAAAGCTCAGTTGTTGTTGTTGACTAAAACAAAACCAAGTTAAAAGAAAACTACAATTTAAAAGGAAATGTTTGGCTGGGTGGTGGTGGTGCATGTGTTTAATCCTGGCACTCGGGAGGCAAAGGCAGGCAGATCTCCGTCAGTTCGAGGCCAGCCTGGTCTACAGAGCGAATTCCAGGACCGCCAGGGCTAGACAGAGAAACCCTGTCTTGAAAAACCAAAATAAAATAATAAAATGTTCACAACATGTAACAGACAAGAATATTCACACACACACACACACACACACACACACACACACACACACACACACACACACACGAGAAAAAACTCAAATGACAAGAGGTAAGTAGAGAGTGTATATAAACAGACATTTACAGTAGCGGAAGCCTCGGGTCAACAGATACCTGCTCTTGGGGAAAGGCAAATGAAAACAGTAAGGTATGTCACAGCACGGAGACAATAGAAACCCTGACGCCACCGTTTGTGAGGATGACTAAAGCGAATGTGGACTCTACAGGCTGCTCATGGCAGCAGTACCTACTGGGCAGCCATGTCTTGGGATCTGGGAGAGCTTTTCCAGGCTAACATCCAGCAGCTCCATCTATGGGTGGTAGCCAGGGCTGAAAGGGCCCTTAGTACAATGTCCTGTGATGCCAGGGTAATGACAGCAACCCGACCCCACCTTGCCCCTCCACCGCGGGTAACATCGGAAAGAACGCTCAGCCAGCCGTAGGTGTTCTGCGCCTAGGGTGCGTAGGCTCCTCTACAAACAGGAAGTACTTCCTCTACAAACAGGAAGTACTTTTTCAAAAGCATCACCACACTCTTCACAAAAGTGGAAGAAAAGAGCTTGCACTTCGAAGAGACATTTTATAAAATGGTAGTCATTAATTGCCAAGGTGATTTTTAAAGGAAGTTTCTTGTGAAAATGAACAACTACTTTTTTTTTTTGTTTTGTTGTGTTGTGTTTTAATCCTGAGCTGAGCAGCGGTGACAATTTCTAGAATCTTAAACAGGAGCTGTGTGAACAGGCATCCACGCTCTCCAGACCGTGACTTCTGGAAGAGAGGCTAGGAGCAAGCACACTGTGGCCATGGCACATGCGGGCTGCTTCATGAGCCAAGCGCACGGTCTTACCCTGGTGTTCATGGAGTCGATCATCTTCTGCAGGAAGACAAAATACCCAGAAACAGAAAAACCATAAACAGTGACTTCTGGCATCCATGAGGCATAGCCAAAGAGCTAGACAAGCAGTGAGTGGACCTCGACCGAATGTGGCCAGGGCATAGGCGAAGCTCAAAGAAATGACACTGAGGCTGAACCAGAGAGAGAGCGAGAGAGAGAGAGTGAGAGAGAGAGCGAGAGAGAGAGCAGGAGAGAGAGAGCGCGAGAGAGCGGGGGAGAGAGAGAGCGAGAGAGAGAGCGGGAGAGAGAGAGAGAGAGAGAGAGAGAGAGCGAGAGAGCGAGAGAGAGAGAGAGAGAGAGAGAGAGAGAGAGAGAGAGAGAGAGAGCGTGCACAGCCGCTCAGGGACAGAGCAGGAACCAGTCATGTCGAGAGCACTCTCTGGAGCTGCAATGCCTGGGTTCAGACCCCGGCTCTGCCTCTGCCCGTGGGACCCCGACCATCAGTTTCCTCCACTGTACGATGGGAACGATGCCTCAGCTCACAGCGTCACAGCGGCCTGAAGGTGTGACGAGAGCGCCCTACAGGTGCCTACTCAAGACAGACAGCCTGGAGGCAGCGCAGAGCTTCTCCCTCTCAACGCGGGAATCACCGTGTATCCCCGCCTCTCTCCATCTGCTGTGGCCCCTGGAGGGCCTTGCTGGACGGATGGACGGATGGACGTGAACACCCCCCTTTCCCTGCTGTTGTGCCAGACCAGTGTTACCCAGTGCAGCTGCGGCTGCTTCCTTCGCCAAGTGGGTGCCTGGGGAGTAATAGTGGAATATTGTAAGTGTGATGTCTGTCACCCACATTTTAAATGGTGGCCTCTAGGGGAGGCTACACCTGTCATTCTCGGTTTGCGCTGTTTGGACCATTCATTGTCAGTCGGCCAGGGGTGAAACACAGCGCTCACACACTGAGCTACCTGCACTATGCTATCTGTGGCTCCCGCTGATAGATCAGCTGCTGGGAGACTCCTAGACCGGTCAAGAGGTTAGCACCAAAATGTGACAAGAAGGGCTAGAGAGAGAGAGAGGGGCTCAGAGGCTGAGAGCTCGTACTGTTCATTCTTTCCGTGGTCTGGAATTTGGTCCTCAGCACCCACATCAGGCAGCTCACCACCACCTGTAACTCTCACTCCAGGGGGTCAGCTCTCCTCTCCTGGTGTCCTAGACACACACAGATGAGACAGACAGACAGACAGACAGACCGACCAAAAGAGACAGACAGACAGGGAGATGGGGGGGGGGAGAAACAGACAGACTGAAAGAGACAGAGGCAGAGAGACAGGGAGGGAGACAGACATAAACACATACACACATGTAAATGTTAAAACTGAAAAGACTGTTCACCCCTATGCTAGGGCAAGGGGTGAGCTGAGTTGTGTGAAGGCTTCCTGACCTGACCTGACCTGACCCTGCCACAGAACCAGGCTCTCCAGCGAGCCACCTCATAGCACACGGAAAACACAGGCACAGAGGAGCTGCTCACGGCCAGCCTGGCAGCGCAGACGCCCGGAGGACCCAGGGGATTAGTATCCCGGCCCAGACACTCCACTCCAGACCGAGAGTGCCCCGGTGTTCACGGACACAATAAACAGAATTATCCGGTGAAGCTAGAAGGAGGGTGAAGACGATGTTCATGCCTGGTAAAAGCTGAAATCTGGTCAGGAAATCACTAAGTGCATTTTCCTTTTCCAGTGGGACCTCCCCAGTTGTGTGCCATCTGACCTCCAGCGGTGCTGGGGTCCACTGGCCACCTCTCTGGTGACCATGTCTTAGTGTGTTCCAGAATCCTTCTTCTCACGTCCTTCCAAAGGCTGTGCTTCAGAAGTGTCTTTTTCCACCTTCTGTTGCCTGGCTCTCACCTACCTACAGGGCTTTAGATACCATGTCTGCGGTGACGATTCTGGTCTAGATGCTGTGCCTCATAACTATAGGACCAGGTGTCCTGGAAACACCTCCACCTAAATGTCCCAGCGTCGGCTAATAAGGGGCGCGTCCCAAACCTATCTTCAACGCCATTTTCATCCCACGTCCCAACCAGAGAGCGACGTCCACATCTGCTCACAGCATAAGCAGCTCTCCAGGCTTCGTCTCCTTCTGGTACTGTATTGCACTGTGTCAGACCACTTTCCAGGGCAGGGCAGAGACACGAGTTTTACTGTATCCTCCCTTTATTTAAAAGCCCTTCAATCTCCCCATTTAAAAAACACTTACTAATGAGCAACATGCATTAATTCCTAACATTCTAAAGGTTTTTTTTTTTTTCCCCTCCTGTTATTTGTGTGTTCAGTGCGTGCATTTGTGCACATGAACGTGGAGGTCAGAGAACATACAGGAGTAGATTTTCTTCTTCGACCATGTGTGCCGTAGAGAACTGCATTCAGGTCATCAGGCTCCATGGCAAGGGCCTGCACCTGCTGAGCATTTCACAAGCCCCAATTGCTAACATAAAGGGGGGGGGGAGGGAAAGAGGGAGAGAATAACGGTATTTTCCAGATGAGAAAAAAGAGTTAATGAGAATAGTGGTACTGTTTTCTATGCTGCAAACCTTTTAATATCTGGCTGAGCTGAATGAAGACAGCAGCATGCTTGTCTCGGCTTGTGCTTTTGAAGCAGCGGAGACAAACAGAAGGTGAAGAGCAGCACACACAGTCCGTCCCTATGCTACGGAGAGCACACTCTGACACTGCCGGCAGGCCCCCAGTGCTCGGGGACAATCAGAATGCTTCCCAATGGCTTAGCAGG